TCTGTGTGACGACTAACCGCCGAGTCGAGGCTTTGTGCTCGAGGCTTTAATGAAAAGCAAATGCTGGTTGTATGTGTGAGGGCAACTAAAGTGTGAGGTCTGCAAGTGTCAGTGTATGTGTTGGTGTTAAGTATGTGTGCCGTGTGCCTTTTTATCTATATCTAGTGTGTTGCTCACACATGTGGGCTCTTGACTGTACATGGCGAGGAGCAAGGCATCTATCACTTACAGACTATTAATTAGAGCCCAGTGTTATGTGGTGGAGACGTCGTCACTGCTCATGAAAGAATGGAAAATTCAATTATTTTCATTTAGAGACATGAGACACAGCAACCCACAGCAGTTGATGAAATGCCTTGGATTTGGTGCGGAAAATGATGAACTGTGTGCGTGCGTGTCTCCCACTTCACGTGTGGGGTAGCGCGTTAGGTGATTCTACCCCATACATCTGTCAACGCATCATCTGAGAAGGTGTATATTAAGTTATTGTGAAGCATCTGTGCTAATTATGACTTCAGCTCTGTTTTTAGTTGTATAAAGGGCAGCGAAGAGCCAGCCAGTCCGTCGCTATCTAAACAACATTAAATTACATGGAAACTTGAAGAAAGGAGCACACAAACACTTTATCTGTGTACTCTATTCCGCTCCTTTCTGGCTTTACTGTGAGTGAGTGATTGCGGCACGGAATTCCTCATCGCTCAGGCCTTTTGTTGGGATTGCATCGCTCGAATAGTTTCCATTGCTCCCCCCTCCCCAACTACCCTCAGTTCAGGCCCATTTTATTTATCTGCCATGTCTCATCGTTAGACAGGGGGAGCACGCATGGCTGCCCTGGTGCCCAGAGAGTGGAAATGTGACGGGCTGACAAACGGGCGAGTGTGGACAGACGTTTGTTGTGTCTAGACAGAGGCCTGGGAGGCTGTCATGGGCTCAGGGTAAACTGGTCTCACGGGAGACGCGCTGTAAACTTATCACGGTGGTATTGTGTGGGAGGCATTCTGGGCTCTATTGTGAACCGGGAGAGTATGCACTCAGTCATATGTGTTTGACTAAGTAGACATGGAGAAGACAAGAACACTTAAATCTTACACAGTAAATCTTATATGTGAGCATGGATTTGGGAATTTGCACATGAAAAGACAACTAGTCGTCTAGGTTAAACGTTTTTTTTTAGAAGTCTATGTTATATAATACGCAATACTTGATTCAACATCATTTCAATGGCACCATTTAGAGCATATCTAGGATCTGATATGCATTCAAATATAGTCTATTAAATGGTGCACTCTCATCTGAAATAATTCAGTTTCTCTTTGTTTGAAACCACAAAAATCACATTTGCTGCGGTCATATGCAGTCATCGGTCTACAATGCGAGCATATGCGTCAGAATACTTGCGTGCATGTAAAAGCGGTCATTTACAACGCTAACACCCAAACCCCCCAACCTGTGAGACGCATATTCATCACTTTAGCACTCGATAGTACACAGGCCCTCCTCAGAGACAGTGTGGTGTCGACACAGAAATCTGTCACCTCTCCGCCCCCAGTAGAAAGTTCAGAGTTTGATTCAGCTTCATGGACGGCTGAGATGGCTGAGATTCAGACTACACTGCTGTTGCACAGATGAAGGACTGCGCCCACTCTTAAAGCCTGCAATTGGAGAGAGGAGAGGATTTAAACCAACTTTATTGAACTTTGCTTGGATAAACCAACATTTATCCAATGAAGCGAGAGCTTATCTGTACAAGAAAAAGGTATAGAGGAAAAGTAGTTGTGGCCTAAGTGCACTTTTATAGTACTTTTTCTATTAACTCCTCTAAATCCACAAACAAGCATAAAAAAAACAATTAGACTGTTTACTCTTTCCTTTCCACATGCGTCTGTGACATTTGACATTATTAGAAATGTTGTCCTCTTCTCTCTAATCTGGCCTAGAGGAGGAACAGTAGGAAGTGTGGAACAAATTGACTGAGAGTCACAACATTTTGTGCTATTGCAGTGTTGAATCTCCTGCTATATTTCATTCAGGCACAGTCTAATCTTTTTTTCTGTATTGGATGCCCTATAGATTAAAGCCTTTTGTTTACCTCAACGACCTTTGAGATTCTTTCCCTTCCTTCAGACACTGAGGTCTTTCTCTCCATTATTCTGTCATTTTATCTTGACAGAAGGAAACAAGTCCAAAAGACAAAGCTGGAGGCGAGGTGACAAGCAGCTGTGTACATGGAGGTCATGTTCTCTTTCAGGGTCAGAGCCTCTTGCTGTTATTTCGGTATTTCATGAAAGCTGCAGCCTTGCAAGTGAATGTTTCCAAGTGTCAAGTAATGATTTGTATCACAGGCTATGACCCAAAGAAAATCTGGCATGCCACATTAGTCAATCGCCAAAAGAAGGGAAAATGATTAGAAGGGGAAGAAGTGGGAATGGACGAAGAGAAAAGAGGAAAAGGTGAAGGCCCAAACTCGAGCAGTTCCCACGACCAGCAAATTGCCCAAATCGCTGGTGGCTCTCTCTGTCCCCACCCCCTCCAATGCATACCGTGATGAATGGGACATTTAATATTGCCCCGCTTAAGGGTATTACTGGAATGTATCTGTCCTCCTCAAAACACTAAAACAACACTCGTTCTCAGCCTGGATACGATGTGAGTGGAAACTTCCAGTCTTTGGTAAATCTTCTTCGTCTTATTGATTTAGATCTCTTGTAAACAGTTTTTGTTGTCGAAGACAAAGTAGTAATAAAGTCAGAACTAGTAGTATAACAGTAAGAGTATCTTGAAAGCATTTGTTAGTGTGTTGGCATTAAGACTTACTGTACTTCATTGAAAGTGGTCACTGGTCAGCAGCTCATGCTCATATTTTATTTACTTACTTGTAAAAGGTGTACAAGAACAGTGGCTTAGTGATTAGCACTGTCACCTACAGCAAGAAGGTCCTGGGTTTGATTCCCGGCTAGGGAAGGGTCCTTCTGTGTGGAGCATCTATGCCAAATGTCACGGCAGTCCATCCAATAGTTGTTGAGATATCATGAGTGACTGTACAAAACGTAATGGTAATCCCTCCAGTATTTTCAAGATATGTCAGTCTGGACAAAAGTGGTGGACAGTCCGCAGAGACAAACAGCTATCATGCATGACCAAAAAACACACACAAAAAAATAGTTAATAATGAAAGAAAATCCAGACGGCACGTTCATCTATTCTTATTGTTTTTGCATGTGCATTGTGATTTGTGAAAAAACAAAACTAAGAATCAATTAACACAAGACTCCACTTAGATAATCAGGTTGGCATAGAGTCATAAATTAGTAGATTAGACTCAAGCACTGACTCGTGAGAATGATTTCCTGACACCCAAAGGAGACAGGTGAGATTTTTTTGGCTGTGCGCCACGCTGATGGATGGAGGGAGAGAATTCTCATGAGCAAGTGTCATCTAATCTAATCCAGGTGATTAGTCATGCATTCTCCCCTTTCAAGGTGTGAGGCCCATTTTTCCCCCCCAAACCAGGGGCCAGGTAATGTGATCTCTCAGAAAAAGTATCAATGGTGGTTTCAAATGACTTGACACACACATACACGGAGGGAGGCAGCCACATACTGTACCGCACTGTACTATACGTACAAGAGCTGAAGCAATGGCAGCAAGATGCGAGGATACACTGCATGTCCTGAGCACGACCTCTGTCATTGGAAAAGTTCCAAAATTCTTCTGGTCTGGTGGGAAGAATGGGACAAATATTGTTATGGTGACCGGTCAAAATGTTCTGTGTGATTCAACATGTGTTTAAAAAGCTTGACCAGCAACACACCAAGTAAGAGTCCAGACACCCACTCGCTATTCATTCTCATCAGACGGAAAGTACTGCAATATGTTTTATCTCTTGAGGATGCATTCAAAACCAAAATGGTCTGGCTGATTCAGACTCTCCCCTTTGATCGTCAGTTATATTTAATGAACCATTACAATTCTCCGCTTTGCTACAGAAAACATTGACTTCATATTATTGTACTACACCGCTGTTCTTTCATAAATCTTGTTATTGGCGTGATTTATGCTTTCTTTCCCTATCATGCTAGCGTAGTGTCTATTAAAAAAACGTGTGTCACGTTCTGATGCTGAACATTTAGTACTCTGATATGATAGCTGACGATACTGTCTAGTCTAGCATCAAATCCAAACTTCACACTTTCAATTCTTCCATGTGGAGATCATTTCATCACCTAGGGAACAACTGTATTTTTGCGATAATGCAGATATCTTAGAAAAGAGTTTTCTTATGTACCTAGATAAGATAAATAAGATAAGATAAGATAAAAGTAAAAGGGACCCCTGCACCTGTTTCTGCATCTCTCTGTGTTTGTGTGGGAGTAAGCGTATGTTCACATTGTGGCTGCAGAGAAAAAAAGACAGAGTAAGAGGTTAGGATGAACAATACTGGCGTGTCTGATACATATGGACTTCTTTAGAGAGTCAGAGGGAAGAGGGTCTATGTGTGTGTGCTCTCGAGGACACAGGGAGAGATCAGACGAAACCCAACTTTCCAGCTCTCCATCTCCCTCTTACCGCTGATTTCTCCTGGCCCACTTCATTGTTCCCTGTCCCCTTCCTCCTCAGCTTGTGAACGTACCCTTCCTGTTTCTGTGCTGCATTGATACGGCGCTGTCATCGACTCTTCCACATGGGCTCCCTATAACAAAGAGATTTGTGTTGATGATATGAACTGAATGTGTATGTATTTGTGGATGCATGTGTATGCAGTGTGCGTGAGTGAGCACAGCAGCAGGGCTGGGCTGAGAATGTTTATTTACTGTGATGTGCTTGCTTGCTCCTTTTGGCTCTAAGCAGACTGTCATCACTGGGCATCATATTGACAGGGTAGAGACCAAAGTATGATTAATGACTGTCCTTACTCTCTCTTCTTTTCTCTCCTTTTTCCTCTGTTTTTTTCTCTTTTCTCTGTTCCTCCTTGTGTCTCTGTGGCGTGCCCCCCCTCCCAGAGGACCTGGATGACCTGCGGATGGAGGGTGTGACCGGCTTGGCTCCATCCGGCAGTAAGTTCAGCCAGGGACGCAGCTCCTATCAGCCTGAACCGCAGGCCAAAGTTACACTCAACATCTGCTCTAGGTGTGCCAGGTAAATGTTTCCACCTTCTCTTATTGGCTGCCTTGGAGAAAGTTTGTGTTTAGAGCCAGTCTGCTCTTATGAGGCTTTGAAGGAATAGTTTTTTTTACTTTTTGTGGAAATTCTCTTTGAGTTAGACGAGTAGATGGATACCGCTATCCTGTCTACCTTGTAAATACATACGACTACAGCCAGGAGACGCTTAGCTTAGCTTAGCTTAGCATAGCATAAAAACTGCAATGAGGTGTAATAACTATTTATGGGCCGGGAGCAGTAACTGAAACTGAGACTGAGTCTGAGTCTTCTCGTGATCTGGCATTCAATTTCCAAACATGCACTGCAGTCTGAAAAATGCAGAAATAGGCCAGCACACAACCCTTCTGTAAAACTGCAACTTGATGTTTTTTACACTTTGTACAGATTAAACAAATAAGATATGATGTGTCAATTAATGAGATTCAGAGGTGCTGGGAGAGGGATTTGTTTTTAGCTTTGGACAGAGCCAGGCTAAATGTTTCTGCTAAACTAAGCAAACCGCTGCTGGCCTTAGTTTCATATTTATACATGAGATTGGTATCGATATTCTCATCTAACTCTCTGCAAGAAAGCAATTAATCGTATCTCCCAAAATATCTAACTATTGCTTTAAGGTTTTAAATTACAGAAATTCAAATTAATTTTAGCTCCAGTAAAGTTCCGGCAATTACTGTAATCAATTATTTACTTTCCATCATCCAAACTTGTTCTTACCCCAGGTCATGACTCCACCTCATGCCCTACCGTCCATTCCCCCTCCCACTCACTTTGCAGTTTACTGTATCATTGGTAGCATACCTCAACATGCAGAAGAGAATAATATCATATCTAAAGTGCATTCCAGTGTTGCTTGTTTTCACAAATCAGCCCAAGCACTGATAATCGTCTCTATTATCACCCTTTCTCTCTTTATCACTGTTTTTCTCTTCTGACACATTTCCTGTTCCCCCTGATCCACAGCATCAGTCAAGAGCTCAGATTTCTGAGTGTTAGGTGTGATACCATAGACAGGTGTGGGCAGGACTCTTCCTTGATGCCAGTCAAAGATAAACTGGTATCTGTTCGATGAGACGCCAGGCACACATCTGCCTGCACAGCCTCCTCTATTTGGGGTTTGGAATTTGTTTGTTTCCTACTCTTCTTTCATTCACGCTGCTTATCAGTTTCGCTCCACGCACATGCTGTGGGATGTTGTCAGAGGTTCTGCAGGAGGATGAATGGTATCGGTGGATTTTTTGTTGGCAGTTTATCGACGGGATGTTTTGAAGCAAAAAGTTTATACCTTTGGCTTATCATTGAGTCCCCGGGTCGGATCAGTGGCCGAGCAAAGCAGCATCTGTATCTGGAGTCGTTTTTGGCTCACGCGCTGGGTTTTTTTCATGACTAAAATGTCAGACATCTGTTCTCCTTCTCTGTCTTCCTTTCTCCTTCTGGTTCAGTCCAAATTCTTGCATCGTCCTCTATAACCTGACCACAAAATCCTTCCCAAGTTCTACTGGCGAAGCAGTCGTGGTCTTTCGTAGTCATTTTTGGTGAGTGTAAGGGCCATAAACAGATCACTAAGCTGGAAAAGTGTTGCACGCATGGTATGCCCTTTGTGCTATTCTTGTGAGACACATAATTCTGAAATCAGGAGTTGTGCAGGAGTTCATGCTTCCACACACACACACACACACACACACACACACACACACACACACACACACACACACACACAGATATTTATGAATCCACATATAAAACATGTGTGTGCATGCCCTTGCATGCATACACACAGAATACCTCTGTGAAGAGAAGATGGTGGAGGCCGAGGTCAGGGAGCAGTTTGGAGAGGGGTAATCCTAACAGAGACTTCATGTTGTATGCATTAGCACTCTCTCTTGATGGGATTGCCAGAAACACCTTTCAAACATGGCTCAATATGGGGCCAACCTTTAAACGTACTTCTCAGAACACTAACATATGTGGCACAGTTAGTGGCCTTGTGGTTCACACCTGCAGAAAGTACAGATGTGACCTTGTACTCAGGCTGAAGTTAGAAACTTCAAGTTTTTTTTTACAGTTAGTTTTTTTATGAAGTTAAGGACTGAGAAGATTGGGTGGATTCTTACTGATATCATTTAACTCTGACAAAAATCGTAGAGGGTTGCATGGTTCTGAATGGAACTGCGAACATTCACCCAAGCTGGACAAGCATTCCTCACATACCCGTCAGCCCTCAGGCAAACACATCAGAATTCAGCTCCTTTTTTTTCTGTGTGTGAACTCTTATGGGTCATTGAGGTCCAGTTTTGTTCAAAAACGTCTATACTGTATTTGCTCCCTCTCATCGTGTAAGGGGTCAAACGGGAGTGAGCCACTTGGCTTTAGCATGTACCACTCAAAGCCAAGGAGAGGTGACACTTACTTTCACACCCACAGCGTGAAGGCGATAACTCGGTTCCTCCCCAGCAAGCGTTTATTAATTTCCAACAGCGCTCCTGTATGTTACTGTGATCCACCTGTAGTGTTATACGCCGAGTACATAAAATTTAAAGGAATTACTGTAGACTTAAACTGCAAAATAACATCATACAGATAAAAATCATTTCTACTAAGTGTATTATCTTTGTTGCACAATTGAGTTTAAATATATTACAATTAAGGGTTGCGCAGTAGTATCACTTTTCTTTTTTAACTGGCTGACACCAAACTGGCATTTTTCCCAGCATTCAGACACCTTCTTCGACCATTGTCCTTTTTCTTTCCCTTCTGCTTAGACACTGTCCACACCACCAAACAGTCCAGTCAGCCTGTGTGGCTCCTAACCAGCAATGGCAGGTCAGGAAACACGCTGCTTCCTCTGGCTCTCTACTGGTTGGTTGAAGTGTAAAGTGCCGTGTGGCCTGTGTGTTGTGGGCATGTCTCTGTCTCTCGGGCTATAGCTGTGGTCACACTAGCATTTCATCCACCTCCTTCATGCACCAGATCAGTTCTTTTAATGGCTATACACTCCTGCCACAAAACCTCCTGTGTGCAAACGCATCCCAGATCTTGGGCACAGTCCGGAGGAGTTGGCGGTGCGGTCCAAGGAAATGGATAGATCTCCACAAACCTCACTTGGGCTTGTAGTTCTCATTAAATTAATTGTTTTCATATCAGGAATGTACTGAGGGAATGGTAGTCAGGACTTGCGGCTATGAGCAGCTTTTGTTCAGAGAATGGGAAGGCCTTGTGATAGTCATCTTGGGTTCTTTTTAATGGTCTTATAAAGACCATTAAATAGAGGGAAAGACATGGAGAAGGATGTATAAAGAAGGAAAGAAATAGAATACACTTTAAAAAGCTGTGTTCTGCTTTTACCCTCATCGTAGAGGTAGGAACCAAGAGGCCCTGCGGCTGTGACGGAATGCAGCCGCGCCATAAAAGCGCATAGATTGCTTTCCTTTGTCTTCGGCTAATGATTGCGCCGATGACATGGAAATAGCATGCAGTGAAAGCATTTGTAGTTAAAGCAGTGTATAATTACAGTTAATATGCGGTATGATTTACAGTCGTTAAGAATATGCTTTAGAAAAATAAACGCAGTGCTTAATTCCATACTGATGTTGGAGTGTGTGAATTAGTTTGCAGAAGAGTATAAATGCAGTGAAAAGTCATGTTTAACATGTTTATCTTCCCACTGAAAAGGCATTTCAATTGAATCAAATGTTTGTCTTACACCCACAGTATTCTTTCACAGGGAAACTTAAGTCTTTTAGTACCTTAAGGAGACTGCCAAATCTCTCATACCCGCTTCCACTGCAGTCCAAACAGATATCTTTGAAAACAAAAAAGCTATAGGGGCTTGAAACATATTATGAGAAAGAATACTAACTGAAAGATTTAAGGGGAAAAAACAATCTGTGTTTTTCAGTTTTGCTTTTTCAGCAAGCGGAGTGAAATTGCTTCTGAAACAAGTGAGCTGTGTACAATTTGCACCATATGTTAGTGAATGCATTACTTTGGTTTCATGTCAACATACTAACGACTATTTCAGATTTGTTTTAAGAGGGCTTAAAAGCTGTGAAGAGATTGGACGTGTGCCCCAAAACTGACCCCCATGTTCTGCTAAATCTGGGATGGCACCAAGAAGAGAAGAAGAGATCATAAACTCACTAAACACTTCCTCTTTGTCTCATCACCTCGGACTGATAGAGAGAGACTTGCTTGTTTTCTCGCTATCTGGCATTCAGTTTCCAAACATGCGTTGCAGTTTTGTGGCTGAAAAATGCAGATTACAGAGATTATTTAAATGCACTCAACTTCCAATGTGTACAGTATTGTATATGTGTTACGTGTTGTTTCTAGGTTGCAGGGGGACAGTCTATCAGACAACAGATCTGAAGAGGAGCACAGGCCTCACATATCTGAACAGGCTGTACCTGACATCTCCTGTGAGTTGCACAACACAGCTCAAATTCAAAGTAGTTATTCTTTTTTTTCTTTACATTTTTGTGGTCTCACGCTCTGCTTTGTCCTTCTTTTTTTCTTCCTGTTTGTGTGTGTGTGTTGTCTGGAGCAGCTCCATTGCCCGGGGTGGACACAGTGGCGGGACGGTTGCAGGAATGCGAGGTCTTGTCTCAAGTGTCAGCCTCTGTAAGTGTCCTCCCTATATCCATCACCAAACAATTAAGATCGCTTTACAGCCATCAATTACCATGTCGCTCTCTCCTGCTCAGCTTCTATTGTCCCGAGAATGAACGAAAACCACCTCAAGCTTCTTGTTAATAGGACAAGACCCAAGCAAAACTGATCCATCTTTATGCAGGCATTTCAGCTTACACAACAGCTGATAGTGCTATAGAAGTGATACCCCAATTAGAAATCTCCCTATATCACTTTGCTTACCTCTCAGGGCACTTGTGTGCAATCTGAAAGGTATAAATGAAAAGAATATCTTGTGACACAATGACAATTGAGGCTGATTTGAAGGTATACAATAGACCTAAATATTTACAGGTTACAGGAGTAAAAACAGTTTTGTTCAATAGGACTTGCGTGATAACCTCACATGCTTCAGGGGATAAAATCCATAGAGACCTAATGTGGTACACACCAGACTCAGACACAGGCAGACACTCACATGCTGTTAATAAAGCGGTCAGCTAAGACGCCGGTACCTTTGTATAATTACGCCCAAAAAAGCCGATACCTTTTTTTTTTTTTTTTTATAATTGCCCGATCTAAGTGTTAGACAAGGCTTTTTACTGCATTTTCTAAAGAAAGAAAGGGGTTCGGAGCCAAGGCATTGCTCCGTGTGCGAAGCAGATGCAGAGAGGCTCCAGACTAACTGGGAGCAGACTTTTAGAGACTGAAGGCCCCGTTGAATCAAAGCCTGTACTCGGAAGTCTGACAGATTAGGCCAAATTCACTAGCCACCATCCAAAAAGAGAAAAACTGTGCACCTTACACATCCACATCATACTGCCAATGTTATCCTCATTTTTTAAAACATTTCACGTGAAAAGCTAAGCTTGACCAGATGATAGACAGTGTCAATAGTATTACCACATAACATCTACTGTAACTCAGAGATTTAAGCTGACTAATTTAACTTGGAACTAAATCTGATGTCCTTTTACCACTCACCTTCACATCGAGCCTTTTTATTTTGCAGCTGCTCAGACCAGGAGAGTAAACACTGCATCTCTCCCCTTACACTACATCTCCAGGTTAGGTCCTGTCTGGCACACTTAAGAGCAAGTTATTAATGTGTCCCATATGGAAACCGCAAGTGCAAACGTCTCCTGTCATCTACTGTAGCTAATGTGGTTGTTTTGTGTTTAATTGCTTATGTTTGGCTGTCTTTGAAAGGCAAACGCAATTTGTAATAGCTTGTTAGTTTAACTGGTCCTTCGGGGTCTTGCAGGCCACAATCACTAAATGGCATGGAAAAAAAAAGGTAATGCTTTTATGAGCTTATTTGGAAAAAACACAATGGTTGAAGTCATATTGTATGAGAAATAACTGTGTATAGCTGATTAAGTTTCTTTCATTTAAAACTAACTTATTCTTTAATGTATCTCCTGCTGCAGTATTTTGTTATATATATTTTTGAGTGTCCTTTGAATTGGTAGAAAAGTGTCCAATTGTTTCTTCACATGTTGCACTCGTTATTAGTGTTAAAGAAAGCATGTATGTAACTTTTTCTAGGTTTCAAATTTTGAAGTCACATTTAATTATTAGCACATTTCATCATTCACGGCTGTTGTTAAATGAAGTATGCCTTGCATTGTACATTGCCCTGGTTTGGGCAGTAAAAGGCTGGTGATGTTGGAAAGTAAACACTGTTAATGGTTATCATTATTAGTCCAACAGGCCCCCTGCCTCTGCCAGCTCCTTTAGGTGATAATTGCCCCATAAAGACAAATACTTTCCTAAAGCAATCGCCAGAGCAAATTCCCCAAGCAATTCTTTCCTTTGTAAGCGTTAAATGATATGTTTTAATCAAATTTGAGTTGTACTGTATGGGTGTTGCCATCATAAAATCTGCCAGGGGAAACTGTTCATTTTTGTGTGGTAGAAATAAGATAATTAGCATGATGCAATGCCATTTGTATGATACAAAGCAGCACCATTGTGATGGCTTATTTTCGTTTCCAGGGGAATTTTGGCAGAATTTCAGCCGATACGCTGTATGGCTTTTTGAATTTGGCACCAGTCTGCTCCGCACACCTTCACAGTCATGCCTGCATGGTTTTTTTTTTATTTTAGAGCATAGTCTAGTGCAGATTTCTATTCAAGATTTCTAGTCTTCCTTTATTTACAATTTATTGTCTTTGTGTTATTCCCTAAAGTATTGTTAGAATACAACAAGTAAGCTGTAAAAGGTTATTCAGTTTCTTTTCGTTATGAAATTAATTTTATTGGACAGTTAGAATACATGCAACACATTATTTAAGTTGTAGGGGGTGGTACATTTAGATTATTTTATGCACACTGATATTAAGAAGTTAGTCTCTTTACTAGTAGATCTGACATCCTTAGGTCCCAACATGCACCAAAACCTGAACAAAAACTCACCTTCACTGAGAGTGCTAAAGAAATATTATGACTAAAAGCAAGTGCTGTATATATTGTAGCTGCTCCAGAGGCTAAGCATTGTTGGAGAGGCATGAAGCAATAGCATAGAAATCCTTCCCTTAAATATATTTACATCTCATTAAGTGTGTTAATTGTACACTTTTATATTTGGGGATTTTTTTTATTTATTAATTGGGTCAGTTAGACACCATATCCCTTTTACAACAATGAGAATAAGCCCATATGATGAATATGTTAAAACAGCAGACCATATGAGACTCGTCTTACGTATACAGAAACCATCACAACAGAATCGTATTTAAAATCTTTGTTAAATATAGCTAAATTCACTGAGTCAATGTTTGTGTTTGTCACACAAACAAGAAAAAAAATCATATTCCACAAACAAAATACTGGCACGCACCAAAGCTGACTCAGAATGTCAAGGCCGAGTTCGAGTATGGCCCAAGGTCCTTTGCTGGATGTCATCCCCTCTCTTTGCCCTGCTTTTTTCTGTCTCTACTGTCCTATAAAATAAAGCAAAATACCACAAAAATATGTATTTATATATAAATATGGATGCATACTCAGACTGTGAGCTATATAGCCTATATTTATCTTCTTCCTTTCATTTGCCCTCTATTAGTTTTCACTCCTATTGGCACAACACTTAATTTTCTCTGTTCTTCTATGACTGAGTGATAGACGTTGTGCCATTCTTTGTAAGGCTTGAATAAAAGTCTTAACTGTGTTATTGTCAATATCCTGTTTGTGCTAAGTCAGTGGTTGAGCCGGTGAGCCCTGTATACAGTCCATAAAATCCATTAGGTGATTCTGCTGTGAGCCAAAACAACAGGAACTCATTAAAAGCTGAGTGTTACTCCTCGTATCCCATAGCCTCCCATAGCTAAAGCAAGCTACTGTAGAAGGGGCTGCAACAGCTATTCGGAAAACATATTTCCTCTTGTTACTTACATTTAAGTTTAGTGGACTGTTTTGATTTAGTGGACAATTGCCAGTGTCTTGGAACACACACGTAGTGCTTGTCAGCCTTACATTTGAACATGTTTTAAACAAGAAAATAATGTAATAGCAGTGGCCTATGCTCATGTGCTCTTAAGAGAGAGGATCTCTTCCTGCATATTTGAAGGGTTACAAACTTTGTTGTTTGGTTAGAATTTAAAAAAATAATACACAATGTTCTCTATCTCTCACATGTGCAGATTAAATCGTCATGCCGACAAGCTGTCATCTGCCAGGATCTTCTCCTCTTCACTCAGACATCATCTCATCCCTCACCTGATTTGATAAAAACAAAGCCATTTGTCTTTGCTTCTGATTTTTTACATTTTGGATGTTTTCAAGATTTCCATCATGGTGCGTAAACTGAGCTCATGAGATATTGTCTGGCTTTGTAAAGCTGAAGTGGCAATCATCCAGAATTCCTAAAAGTGCAGTGACATTCATGAGTCTCATTCTGTTCTTCAATCTTCCTCATTGCTAGAGGTGGTTCTTCAGCATTGGATGAGTCATACTACCACCAGAAAAAATTTACCCTTTTAAAAGGTAAAAGCTATTGGGGAGATGGCTGCTGCAAGGGAATTGGGACAGAAAACACGGAACCTATATAGACAAAAAAAAAAAGGGTGCGGTGAAGTTCAAGCAGCAGCTGCACCGTTTTAAAAAAGCCGTCATTGATTTAGAAACAAACCCAAAGGAACAATTAGCCACAATTAATAAATTTTCCCAGTAAAAGGCCTAAAAAAATGAATGTTGCTCATCTGTGTGTGTGCATATTAGTCCCTATGCTACTCTCCCTGACCACAAACATCAATTGTGTTTTATAAAGCAAGCAGTAGGCTCAAACCTCCAACTCAGCCCAGCCATGTTTGAGGTCTATGACTGCATGCACACATCCCCAACGGCTCTTGTTGAGCGGAGGGCAATATTGGACCAAACCCCAGATTGTGGTGATTATTACTGCTGACCACACATGTATAGCTGCACACATGCAGGCTATAAAATATTTAACTCTAGACCTACATCCTCTCTCTTTCTGTCTTGTTTGCTCTCAACATGGAATCAATTTTGCAAGAGCCGAGACTCTTGTTTGTTAGTTGGGCAGAAGCATCACCAGAGGGTTTTTCCCTGTTCTGTTTTAGGTCTTTCAGTTTTGTCATACTGGGAGGGAGATTATACAACTTGGGTTTTGCACCACTGACATTAATATACTCATAAGTCATTGCAAAATCATAGCTGCTCTTTATTTTGGAGATGAAAAGACATTCCTTCCCATCTCTTTGTCTGTGTAGATTAAAGCATTCAATCTAAGCATCCAAACAAGAGAAAAACTTTGACTCATTTGCGCTCATGTTGTTGCTGGATGGACAATGGCTGCTTTAAACCATGGCGAAGGGAAATCATTTTTCATCACTTAACTGTGCCTCTTCAGTGTGTAATCAAATCAGTTTTTTTGTTTGTTTTTTCACCCTATCTACTGTGTTGGGCCTTGCTGTTTTGTACATGATTTTTTATTATGCACTCCAGACTGTACATGTTGATCCAGGTGACATTGAAAAATATGTATGCCTTCACCAAACATGATGAAATATTTCATATTTTGATTGTAATGCTTGCAGACTTGTTACATCTTGTTTGTTTACCTGGCCATGTACAGTACAGTACAGTACCACCATGCTCAGCCTCCAGGTTATATGGTCCTGATTACAGTGTAGCCTTTCTTTTAGTGGACTGAGGAGCTTCCAGGAGCAATGGGAATGTTAAACTGTCGACATTGCTGATACGAGAAAACCTCCATATATCAGCAGGTCTTATACAACAAAAGTGGACTTTCTCCTGCCCAGTGGAACTTTTTAATTTAACCAATGTGAAGCCAGTAATGACGTACAGTATAATAAAGATTATGAAAATGCACTTAAAAACTAAAACTAGGAATCTGTTGGTGGCCTTGTTTGCCAGAGTTGAGAAGACTAGATGATGTCATGCTGTTGGACTTGGGGGGATACCACCAAAGAGAAAGAAATAAAATTGGGGAGGGGATTCACTTGTAATGTTCAACCCGCCTTGCTGCTTTATGAGGGCTGTAATTAAGGATTGGCTTGCCGTGTTGTGGTCCTGCTGCCACAAAGGGCCTCATGTATCTGACAGAGACACAGATCAATGCCATAGACTCTGAGAATCATGTTCTGTCATTTATCAGAGGACAGCAGCTTAACTTGTTTTTCACCCTACCTCTTCTTTGGAAACCGACTTTTAAGCCCTCTTTGAATCCTGAAAATCATAAAATGAGTAGCCTATTGTATCCCAGGTTTGTCTTTAAGTGTTGTTGGAACACTGCGCTATATGTATATCACCAGATCTCCCAGAGCCTTACTCTGTGTCAGCACTTTGTCAAGTCAGCTCTGTCTCTCATTAAGTGCTTAGCGCATCAGATGATGTAAGTGCTGGCATCGAACGTATCATAACTTATCTAGTGCAAACCAAACTTACAGGAGGTGGAATTAGGGCTGACAGATTTTATTTCTCACCTGTGCTTGAAGCTCACGTGCACACCATTGGTCCATTGGCTTAACGGATCATCTGGCCACTTGTGTCCCATCAAAGGAATAAATCGGAGGATTAGGCATGCTGCCATTACAGGACTTGGCAAACTGAGTCTGCCTAACAGGTTTCTTTCCAAATCATACACTTGGCCAGGAAGACATAGGGGCAAAATAGGCCAAAGCGGCCCCTATAAGCGATCCAATCTGCCTTTTTAGAATTTATATTCTTTCATATGCTTTGGAATATGATCATCTTTATTTTTGTATAATACCAATATCGTGTGCTCTTGAACTATCCAAAGTGGCTGATTTATTGTTCCTTAACTGCTGCTGTAAGTATGCTGCTGTCAGGCTCTTTGCCAACAGACTAGTGTGCATACAAGCTCCTATAGATTTACTGATAGTTATACAAAAATGTCCTGAACCACTACTGACAGTCTATCGTCCTGCATTCACTAAACAGACTGCACTGTATGCCCCAAGCTTTCATCTACACTTGCTGTGGTTTCTTGTGTTTTTCTAAAGCTCATAAAATAATAATTGCTCTTTTTTTCCAGCAGATATGGCTCAGATATTTCCAGCAATAGCTAAAAATTATATAAAGAGTTAATTGAAGGGTCTCTCGTCTAATGTGACTTTCTCTCTTTTCTGTTCCCTTCGCTAACTAGCGTCAGGCTGTCTGGGAGGCTGATCTGAAGGCTGTGAGAGGTGGGAGCTCTGTCGGGCAGACGGGCCTGCTACTGGGTGACTCCCTCTTTTCTAAAGAGCTGGAGAACATGGGCAAACAGCTCGCTGGTAGGAATGCCTCTGTGGTGTGCATGTATGTGCGCTGTATGCTTATTGCTGTATGCTTTGTGCATATATAAGTTTGACTATGTATTTATTAGTGGCTTTGATGGCTAAGTCAGATCAAATACTTTTCTTGGAATACAAAACATACACTGTGCAAACATTTACACACACACACACACACACACACACACACTATGAACTACAGAGACTTATGAAATAGAAAGGGGTTTAGAGAGCACTTACAGGGAGTGGGAGGGGGAGAGTCCAGCTAAAGAATGCACTGCTTTTGACCAGAGGATTTTCTTGGTTAATTAAAAACTGTTCTTGGTGTTAAAATGTGTCAAGACTAAATAAAAAAAAACTAATTAAAATAATTTCCACATGCCAGGAATTCATCTCAACTCCAGCTTTGACAGTTCGACTCTCACTCTGCTGAGTCATTGTGCCGAGACAGACTTTTGTTTGACAATATGGAATTTGTGTGGCATTTTGGAAGTCCTTTATTTCTAATGTAGTTCAAGGCTCATCTTTGATATATGTGACGTCTGGGTGACTCGGAGACTGCTTTTGTTGTCACAATGATCAAGCGTGTATGCACTTATGAATCAGATGAAAGCCTGGAGTGGAGGCCAGAGGGAATGTCGCCATTTACCATCATGTGTCACCCACTTGTTTGTTTATGCATGTCCTCCCACTCTGTTTGACAGCGTCACTTGTGTGTAAAGACCTCGTACACGGCTTCACATACCAGACTCATACGAAGCATATTGGTCCTACTTAGTGAACCTATTACTGTCACCCAACAGCTGCTCCAATTTTTTCAGCTCATCTGCACATCAGCGCTGAATACACTGGTCCCCTCAGTGCCTTCAGAAGAAAACAGCATGCTGGTACTTAGAAGGCACTATAAGAGGACTATTTGTGTTAACAACACACTCAGTTTTGCCCCAGAGGTCCTCAGATGGCATTAATTTCTAGTTGTTTTACACTGAGTTACTGAATATTCAGGCCAAGGGCTCCCACCAGAAGGTTCACTGAAGCTGTTCAACAAGCTAATTTCAAACAAACTCTTTCAAGCCTTTATTAGCTGCTAATACTTTCCATGTTGGGAGCCAGAGCCTTACTTTTCATCTTATATTGTTACCCCAATTATGTGTTTGTAAAATCACCCTTTGTCTGTCTTTTGTGATAATCTTTTTTTCATAATATACACTCAACACTACATTCTCATTTTAATCTAGGGATGTTTTTTATTTTCATATAATTTAACTAAAATATTTTAACTGTTTTTACCATTTTACAAAACATGCGGAACGGCTCATAAAATATATTCAAGACTTCGAAAAGTTCTCTGTTTTAGAGCCAGAAAAGGCTAATAATCTTTATAAGGTTTCAATGACAACTTTCAGTTTTTACTTTTGATACTTAAAGCTACAGATACATTTTTGGAATGTACTCAAAAAATATTGAGGTTCGATAACCAATCTTTGTTACATTAGGAATGTGTACGACTGCCCTTATTTGTACTGGATTTATCGATCCAAGGAACGGCTAGTGTTTTAATTTGTTCAAGCAGAAGCATATTGTATTGTTGTAAGCTTGCAGATGAAATACAGGCAATGTGATTAGCGCTTTAGTTTATTTTCAGAGGAGGGAACTAATAAAGTTAGCATGAGTTCTGAATGGGTGTATAGCGTGCTGTGGCCCTGGACTCTCACCACGTGGAACTGCTGGTTGATCAAAGACTTTAATAGATTAGATCTGTTTCTATTTCTTCTTGTCTCCTTCTCACTGTCTTTCTTTGTCTCATTTTCAGCCCGTCTTTCTTTTTCCAGTTCTTATTACTGAAAGACTGGATCAAAACTTATCAAAGGTTCATGCCATATGGATTTTGATGCTATCTCTTTGATGTCTAGGAGATGTCATTTTGTATCAGTGTCTGTGAGATGGCTTATAGTATTTCTGTGTTAAACACAGTCAAGTGCATAGAATTTCAAAATAAAACTACTTGTGATTATTAATGCCAGGAAGTAAGGGGGAGCAACTGGTTTACAATAAAATCATGAGGGGAGCAACCACTTACGGAAGGGAGAAATACTTTCACAGCAAAAACATGTGGTGTTTATCATTATACTGGTAAATAACTTGAAATGAAATATCTACTTTATGGGAAAAGGTTACTGATGAATATGTCCTGTTTACGATATAATGATAACATCAGTCGTGATGTGGGTGGTTAAGCGCTTTAACTCGGAAATCATCTTAGGTAGAACTTTCAGTTTACAGCAATTTTTCTTCTGTATATAGTATTTTACTGCCATCCAACAGGTCTTATGGTCACCACCTAGCAGCTGTTCACACAGACTATCAACCTAATATCAACCTAAAATCTTTGTTCTTTGTAACACACAACAGTCCTGCCATTGCCACAAGCTGATGTCATGATATGCCCTGAACACCCCACAAAGTTAATTATTTTCCGTCTTTCAGTGAGAGCGAGGCCAAGCTGTAACCTGTATCTTTAGTTTTCCTTCTTATTATTTAGAGAAGTAACATATGTAGAGTATGCTCGGGTTAAAGCAACACAGACACAGTGTCATGCAGTACACATGCTGACTGTTGAGCGCATGGGCAAGGCACTAAGCAGTTTGTGCTCTGCATTGCATCTCACTGTAAAGGTTGACCTCCGTACAATCAGAGCTGATTAAGCACAGACACAGCAATCTAATTATGCATGTCAGAGAATTAAATGTATTAAATCCCTCAAGGATTGTATACAAAACAGTCTGGAACTGATTTCAAACCAAGTAAGTAATGTCCCAAAGCTGAATTTGAAGTATTATTGCAAATGTTTTCTGCTTTGCATACTAAATGGATATTTGTCTGTGAATTGCAGCATATGCTTCACATTTTTGCGTGGAAAATTTTTGTTTGTGTAGGAGGAAAGCACTATTTTCTCAAAAACAAGGAAGTCAAGGTTTGTGAAATACTTGTCATGCTTCCTTTTGTTATTTATTTAACGTCACACATACACAGTTTTCCAGATATACTTGCTTCTAGTGAGTCATTCCTGAAATTATCCCTCTCAAATGATAACTCCCAGACTGGTTTGTTGAATCCCAATTGCCAAGGTCTTGAACAAAAGCATAAAACACGGAAAAAATGACCCAGATGTTGATCGCAGAAGTTGGCAGCGTCACTTCTTTCACAAACAGAAATGTTTTTGAGACTACCAGTGAGGCAAACAAATGTGTTTTTGTCAGGAACAGGAACATTTTTTACCAGGCTGTGCTTACTGTATATCAACTTGGAACCTGTTCTGACAGAGGAAGCTGGATTTACCACAATTTACAGGGCCTATAAATATTGTCATCATTGCCCAGAAGAAGGATTAAACCCAGCGGTCTCGCCCACTTTAATGCTCAGTAAAGTTTGTGAATCATCAGTCTTGTAGGACATATACTAACCTCACAGCACAGCCTCTGAATATGTAATAAAAATAAGTCTGATCCTGGAATTTCTTAGTCCATTTCCCAAAATTATCTGGGATTTGTGTTTCAGTTGTAAAAACGGTGTAAACATTCTCATTTAAATGTGTTGGGGAAGAAACAGGATTTAAACAAGGAAACTATACCAACTCACTCCCTCAGTACCTGTAACAGTTGAGTCTAAAATCTGGATGTTTACTTGGATTATCTCCCCCTTTTTCTCTCCAGAGGTTGAGAAGGACCTGGCCAAGCTGGCAGAAGTAGGGAAGATGACCACTCGAAGCTCCAATAATCCGCACAGTAGTCTGCTCCACACCCCTCTGCGCCACAGAACGCTACCCGACACACTTCCTCTCACCAGCCTGGTCTCCAGACCCCAGTCTCCAGCTGGCAGCCTCTCAGGCAAGCCCTGTGGTGTGGGCCTCCCTCTGCTCAGCCCCAAGCCCACCTCCCTGGTCATGGGTCGGACTCAATCTCCCAGCAACCCAGGGAGCAGGACTCAAACCCCAAGAACGCCCAGCAGGCCCCTGACCCCGAATAGTTTACTTACACGCTCCACCTTTAACCCTGGATCTCATAAAGAGGTGACCTTCAGGAGGTCGCGGAGCCGCCCCGTGACACCCACAAGTCAGCCCATACATCCCCGACCGCTGCTCACCCCTCCTGGACTAAGCACTACAGACAGCCTTGGTGCCAGCCTACGGGCCTATCTGTCTGAGGTAAGACTCAAAACTGAGAAATATACCCTTATCATCAAAAACACTTTTGTTGCTCGTTCAGAGCTCATATCAGCAATATTGCATGACAGGGTGTCCTAATATATGAAAATAGTTATTGTGGGGGAGCGGATGTTTAATTTTGGCAGCATTGCCTTCACAAGGTCAAATTTTTGGACACATAGAAAACTATGATCGCATTTATACCAAAAGAAGCGATTAAAAAAGAAATGATTAAGATTAATGCTCCAACTAAAATTTTAAGGAATTAAAAATTTTTGTGAAATAGACATATACGCTTTCTTACTGTCTATTAAATATAAAGCCATAACCAGAAGAGGGATAGCTTAACGTATAGCGCAAAGGTAAGGAAGGTAAAAAAATCTGCCTATCAGGACCTCTGATGCTCACTAATCAACACAATAGGCAGTAAAAGAAAAGAAAAAGAGACTAGGGCTTTCCACTTGATTTATAGCCTGTATATATATTGATAGCCTGTATGCTAAGCTAACTGTCTCCTGGCTGTCGCTTCATATTTAATGAACAGACATGTAGAGTGAATATTCATGTTGATGGTGTGACCTCCAATTCTCCATATTACCTTTCAAGATTTATGGACTGTAGCAATGGAACAGATCATCAAGTACACACGCAGTGTGTAAAACATAGCGTAAAATTGTCATAAAGTTTGGGTCATGGACTTGAAAATCGCTCCAACTTTATTGTAATGTTTTAGTATGGTGTGCATGAACTTGTGTGCTGAGTGTCAAATAGGCTCAATGCCCAAGTAAAGCTGGCTGTAGAACATGAGAGCCTTTTACTCAGACATATTATGACTGAGAGCACCAGAACACACAACATCACACATGTGCATACCCCTCACACACACACACACACACACACACACACACACACACACACACACACACACACAAACTTCGTGTGGGGTTTAGTGGAGAGTCATGGAGGTCTGTACAGTAGTATGTCATTTCATTGTGGAAAAATGAGTCTGGCATAAAAGGAGAACGTTCAATGGGATTTCTTTCTTATATTGCTTTCATGATTTACTTAACAGCGACGCTGTTCAATATGAGACCTTTTTGAAGGCTTTATTAATGGTGGGCAAGAATTTTGCAGTCCCTCTGTATACTCTTTGACAGTTATGCTAGTTGACACCTGGTGAGATTATCCAACACTAGTGCACTCAGTCTGATTTTATTGAGGCCACCTGGTCCCACGTAGAAGGACTAAAGCCGCTGAAGGAGAACTGTTCAGAGAGTTAAAGAATCCTGAACCTTTTTAAATGCTGGATGTACAGAAATGAAAAAGTATATGTACTTAGTGTTTTCTTGACTAGGATAGTACTTCTGCAGTCATTTAAATGATTGGAGCCCCATCATTTCAGCACTGAGAAATAAGAAGACAAAAAAGCATTTTTTGTGTATGAGAGGATTTAAAAAACATTTCTTATGTGTGTGTCAGTTTTCGACATCTAGCTGGATTTCCACAGAGTTAGCATCCTCTCGTTGAAAGTTTAATTGGTAAATTTGTACATTTCAGCCCTGTTGCTCCTTTTCATGGGGTCATTAAAAAGGATTAAGAAAAAACTGCTGAATGAGATCTTGCAGCTGTATTGAATGGATATTTCTGTACATATATTTTCCTTTCATTCACTACAAGACTTTAAAGAAGACATGTACATTATGTACAATAGATAGACGAACAGATGGGTAAATTAGCACACTCACCTTGTTTTCCATCTCCATCTTAACACAGTCTTTTGTATGTTCTTCCATATCAGGATGAGTTCTACCAGCAGTTACAGGCCATCAGACAGCCATGGCATATTCCCAGTGACACAGACAGTGACATCCTGGAGCCTCCTGAGCAGGATAAGAGTAAGTGACCTACCTTGCTTTTCCTTCCTTCTGTCTTTTTTCTTTCTTGTTTAAACTTTACGTTTGATTGTTTATCATCTCCTCATTCAGGTTCTCTTTACTAGGGAGCGCAAACATTTACAGTTCTGTTGCTGTGGGTTCCTCAAAACCTCCCAGTTGAGTCCACAAATCAGACAAATTGCCCCTCTAATGTTTTTACCTTCCCGCTGTTTTTTTTTCTTAGTAAGACGTGAGGCTCATTTCATTACTGTAATGTCACTTTACAACAGTGAGTAACTAAGTGGCTATAGATTTATTAAAACTTGAAGATTAATGTGTAAGTATTCCTTGTAAAATGTTGAGATGGAGCACAAGGGCTGACTCAAGAAAATTTCCACATCTCACACTTCACTTGGGTGAAGTCCTGGGGGGGTTTCATCAGTGGGAAACGCTGTCATGTAAAATTTTCTTTCCTGGCATCGGGTAAGAGATATATCTCTATCAAGATCCAGTCGATAGACATGAACGGTTCTTGCTTGAAAGTCATAAATCCAGTCATAGTAGAGGTCTGGCTGGGATACAGTACAGAATATTACTTTGGCTTTGAACAAGACAGAATTAGATCATACCTCCTTGCATGTTCTGGTCCATAAATCACATGAATGTATGTGGCAATATGGTCTGATTGTCAGAAGCTTGTAGTTCTCAATCCACTGAGGTCCACTAACAAACTATCAAATGTATGCTCGCTTAGTGATCTCTTGGTTAACATATGGTGTTACCTCTCTGATCCTCTGAGATGTTAATATGGATTTATATTGTAGCTGGACTAAATGAAAACAAACTTATGTAAACATTACATATTTCTGCAGGACAGGTAGTTTTACAGCCTGCTGTGTGGGGTATGGAGATGTTAGACAGAACAAACAACACACTAAGAATTTAGGTGTGATTTAAGTCTTACCAGCAGGGAGAATTAAAGTGTAACATGTTTTTTTTTCCTCCCCTGGGAGCAGGGATGTTTTTTAATAGGTTATGATTATTATAAAAGGTTAATCCTCTGGGGAACATCAATGGCTCAGTGCAAGTTATGGCAATTCACCCATACTGTCACAAAAAGTCACAAAGAGACCAGAAACATAACAACTAAACCTCTTGAGACAATGCCACATGCCAATCCACATTTTATCCTATTGAAATCTAACCAGTGGTTTTTGAGATAGCTTTTTGGACAAGAGAATTCTGACCCATCACCCTGATTTAATGGTAATCTGACTCATAGTTGTCGATATCTTTCTCTGAACCAACATGTTGGATAGACTGACATATCAATTGTCTAAGCAGCAGATTAAAAGACTTCCTGTAGTTGTACTATGTAGATCCCATCACTACTAGGGCAAAAAGGCCAAATCTGAATTTAATTTATTCCAAAAATTATATATGCCATGAATTCCAAAATGTTCTCAAATTAACTTTAGCCTTGTTTTCTCAGTAAACAAAGCGTCAGCAACAGCTACTCAAACTGAAAATCAAGTGCATGTGGGACTCAAAAAGACAGCTTTCATTGACGTTATGACACAAAAATTCCAGTCAAACAAAAGATCAAGCAGGCAAATGGATGTCACATGGAAATATAACCCTCCTGACAAGTTCCTCTAGAGGGTCATTGTTTTGCCAAATGTGTATCTTGCAAAATAAATGGATACATTTTCCTAATAGCCCCTTGGGGCCTGCTCTAAGCCTTGGCAATGGTAATGGCATGTTGAGAAAGGATATTAGCCGCACATTGAATTAGAGGTGGCTCAGACACAGGGAGAGAGAAAGACTGACAGAGAAAAAGAGACCCAGCAGCCACAAGACGTGACAAAGCACTTTCTGGCGTGAGAGAGGGCCCACAGGACTGTTCACTGAAATCTGGTTTGTATGTTTTTGTGTGCGTGCATAAGTGTGTGTATTAAACATGTGAGTGATTGTATTAGTCAGGGTAAGACATTCAAATTGTTTTCAGAGAGCATTTTTGCCCCCTTAATCTGATTTTAATCTTTTCAGAGGTAATTCTTTGACCTATTAAATAATACAGTTGAATTGCATACTGGCAACTGAATACTCAAATTTCTTTTTTATTATAATCTACAAGCAGAGTAGCAATCAGATAAATCTTCTACTGCCTACTTACTTAGACTTTTTATTTTATTTTCAAATGTGCTTGTGTGGACATGTTTGTCCATAAAGTGGTTTGCTCTGGGTGTTTGAGTCCGTCCACGTACCTGTATGCACATGTGTGGCCAGGAATATCGTGCTTCCCTAATTAGCACAGTGACACCCTCTTCCCAGTATCACGCAGATCTGTCTGAGCCGGCGCCAAGTGTATGGTGAGAGCTAAATAATGGGGGGGAAAAATCCATAGCTATTTCCTGTTATTCTATAAACTTCCACAATGGGACAACCACACATACCACAATGGAGATGAAAGAAGTGTGTCCTTTTACTCCTAACCCCTTCGTTCCTTATGGCTGTGTCTACCCCACTCTGCGTATTAATGAATTCAGCACAAACATGTACAGTGCGAGTAAATCAGTATGTTACATTATACACCTGTGAACATTGCCAATAAGATTCAGTATATGCAGTGTTTAAAGATGTGTTATCAATCTGCTGATAATAACCAATAATAACAATCACTAATTCAGAAGTATCACCTGGTGTTGACCATTTGAGTGTATTCACAGACACAGTACTATGAAAAACTATGGAAAATGTTAGGTTTTGGATTAGCTTCAGTTAAATATGATGAAAATCCAAACTGTGTGCAGCTGACTTACAAGAGCTTAATAAATCTCTTACTCTCATGCTAAGAGTTATATGACAGACTTGACACAACTCTCATTCAGTCCGTTAAAAACGAAGCAACAGTTTAGCGTAACGTAAAGACTGGAAACATCTAGCCTAGCTCTTTCCAAAGGTAATAGAATCCTCTAAAGCTTTCTATTCAACAATTTATACATTGTTTGTTGTTTTTGTACAAAAACTGAAGCGTAAAAATCGCAGTTTCTACCCTCTCTCCAGAGCTAAGCTTACAGGCTGCTGGCAGTAACCTCACATTTAATGGAAAGATCTAGTATGAGAGTGGCATCTCCTCTCTTCTCGTGTAACTCATAGCAAGACAGCGAATAAGCCTATTTCATCATACTGCCCTACATGACACATTTTCTGTCCTTATTTTTTCACAGGTGGTGCACGAGATGCCAATAAGAGATCTGTGTTTTCAGGTGAGAATCTCAACAGTTAAAGGCTTCACAGCCTAAAACCCAGAAAGACAGACTTACCTCAGAATGTGCTGTATCATTTGGGTCACCAGAAACCAATGTTGCTATTGTAAGGAGCTGCCTTAAGTTTAGAGAGCCTCAATGTCTGTCAATGACCTCATTTGTAGAGCCACAACGTGTTACCCAAATAACTACCAATGGGTGACTTACTGTAGGAGCCTCCACCTTCCTTTATGGTCCATTCAATTACAGTTACAGGCTAAATGGAGGACACAGTGGCTCTGAAATGTGATTGGTGGAGGCTGGCTATGTGTGGAGACAGGACCGCCGTTGCCCATTTCCATTAAGTCACTTGGGTTCTGAGTTTACACGCAGCAGACAGCGTCAACTCTCAGCGTCAACATTTGGGAGAAGGAGAAAGTCTGTCTGGTTTGAGGTTGTCTGCGGTTCTCCTTCTTGTGGCTCTGGAGGTGCCCACAGTTCCCAGTGTCAGTGTGCCAGTCTGGAGGCAGATCTGAGAGCAGGCTGCTGCTGCTTGGCTATCAGAGAGGCCAGAACATTGCCACGGCAACCAAACTCAAAGCTCACTGCTTAAGTCACCCCAATCACTGCTCTCCCAGAACTTATTGTGAAATATGGTCGTTGGAACCTACACTGGGCAGCACCAGGCCTCATTTTCCACCTCATGTTTGTCTATGACATGTTCAAATATTAAATGGCTGTTTCATAGTAATTACCCCAGTTATTATTCTTATTAGCGGTTAAATGTGTCTGAATTTGGTTTCTAGGAGACTGATGTTTTCGTCTTTCATTTTTCACAGGCCTATAGTGACGAAGACCAGGGACATTGATCCAATCAAACTATTATGCAAACCACTGGACATTTTGAATATGTGTACAGAGACAATTATTTTTATAATTCATATGAATGAAAAAAAAGAGAAAGATTGTATACTTTTTTCACAGATATTTCATAGACATTGTAATGTAACTGTATGATAAAATGTGAAAATATTACTTCAGAGTATGGAATATAACATTTATTTTTGTTTGCTCTATAGCATGCTATTGAACTTCCATGTGGAGTCCAGAAACAGATGCATTTTGTTGTTGCTGGACTCCTTTTTCTAAGCCTAGTGCATATTCACATTATGAGGGCAGCACATCCATATAAAGAAAGCATTTATTGATATGCACTGTTAAAAGATGTAGTGTTTTTAAAAAAAAGCAAATACGCAAGTTGTGGAGGGAGTACAAGGAATGCTGTTATATTAATTAAAATGATTTGGTGCACATGTCCCCATTCTGTTTTTGATCCTAATTCATCCCACCTTGGTATGTGCTTTCTTTAGATTTAGATCCTACATACGAACACTAAAAGACTCCTCCCCTGTCTCACTGAAAAACAAATTGAAGTCATATAAATGACTAAAACTGCCATAACACAGTCTATGTTTAATCTAGTCTTTCCCAGATACACGATCCATCTAACTTTGTGTCTCACATGTACTGTGGTGCTGACAGAGACGTAGAAATCTGTTCTGACCATGACTACATTTGCTTGTGTGTGTTTGCCTGGGCACGTGTTGGTTAAACTGTGGTTGTCTGAGTGTTACACAGGCGACGTCAGCTCTGGAGACACACACGCCATGGACACACCCTCCAGCCTGACGCAGTCTGATTGCTCCATTCAAACCCTACTGAGCTTTGTGGTATGGTACACCCCGCAATGCCAACTTTTCAGTCTGTCTCTCGGGATGTGGTCAACAAAACTAATCAACTCTCCAGTCTTATTTCACTGAGGGTGATTCCTGTAAAAGGATGTGTGAGAAGACTAATCACTGAAAACCCCATCCTGTAAAACATAGTATGTGGATTCATGTCCTATGTTGTTCAGCACATCATGTGCTCATTGGAAAGGGATGTGGTTTTAAAAGATCTGTGGAAGAATTTGAGGACATGGCATAATCGAGTCACAGTGGTGCCTTGATATAATCCTAATATCACTAGAAACAATATTTTCCTGTCAGAAAAGGGAAATTACAATTTTCACATTTCATATTCCATTTTCACTTTGTTGAAGAGGAGTTGGGAGTGTGATTGCCATCTGTTCTTGTTCCACAGATCACCAGCGCACTAACTCCGTTTATACTATCAATATTTTCTTGGAGTTCATGTGTCTCCTCCAGTCTTTCATTTGTTATGTCAGCAAAATATCAAGGCATGAGGAGTTCTGGAATAAGACGAGACAGTTTGGGAGATGAAGACTTAAATTACTGCCACAGATGTCACACAAAGACAGCGCTCTGATGCTTTTCCTCCCTCTGTGTATCTGTGAATGTCTCCGTATGTCACATCTTATAAAGATGAAATGGTGGGGCCATTACTGATACCTCTTTTTGCCACAACGTGTATAGGATCATATTTCAGATTATAACCATATGATTATTCCAAAGATGATTGTGAGCCTTCATTTTATGCTGCTCATGTATAATAATTTAGCTCAAACTAAATATATCTTTATCAATCACATATGTCATAATTAAGAATCAGACAGATCAAGTTTTATAACATCTCTCTGAAGTATGAAACCTCCAATATCTTCTTAAAGTATGTTTACTGTGCAGGCTTTATACACCAGGCCCATTCAAGGCGACTGCAGGGCCACCCAGGAATAGCGGCGGCCATCACTGTACTTACTGGGAGATCTGGACCACCATCAATGGTCAGCAGGCTGACCTAGGTCTTAATTTACAAATGAACAGACTGGGATTTATCCTGACGTACAGCACAAATAATAAATCTATGGTGGAATAGGGGTGTGCTTTGAAGAGATATAAAGTCAGTATCGTTTACTGCTTGAAATGAAAAAGTAAACTCCTGCAACCCTCCCCCCCCATACGTTTCTCTAATTATAATATTAAAAGAAAGCAATCTGAATAAATATCTAGTTCTTCAAGCTACACTACCCTTACACTATGTATGATTATGCAGAAGCTCTTTGTTAAACCACTTTTTGTGAGAACTACTCTGCATGACCATCCGGGGAGGCTTGTGTGGCTCCTTTTCATGGCAATTTAAAACATAATCTCCAATCTGGATTTTGTTTTCTGTGTTCGTTGAAGTGTACTGCCTGTTCTCACAGAGCTAATGAAATCAGCCCTCACTGTTCTTTAGCTGTTGTTAACTTCTTCAAGCCTGTCATCAACATGAAAGTTAAAAGTGTTGCTCTGTGCTGTTATTTGAAGGCAGAAGTTTTGCTCCATAAAGCAGCTCACTTTGTTTTAGAAAATCTGTAGTAATAAATCTCCATAGATGCAGTAAAAGCAAAAATAATTTGACCATTAAAGCATTGCATTTAATCACTACGTGGTCAAATTGTGCTACATTGTGTGTATTGGAACCAATGGTTAAAATTGTGACTATTCAAATAATATTTCTGAATATCTGAGCATGGTTATGGCTGTTTATTTGACAGTGTATTGCAAAAAGTCTTTCAGGGGTCCCAGGTGCAGCAGTCATATGACTAGCAGATTTGATTTGCGACCACTACACCGAAAGCACAGCACAGCACTGTTATGAGAGCTCACATGTAGCAATGAAATGCAGAATTGTGTAGCCTATTTATGTACAGAATTTTCAATAATAAACAATTGTTCCTGTTTTTGGTGTGTGCAGTCCCTCACTGTGTTTTGTACTTTAACAGGGAGAGTCTCATGTTCATCAAAGCCTTTAAAGTGCTCCAACTGTCCGTCATGTTGAATTATGATTTTATAAAAAACAACTAAATGCCTGCTATAACTCCTCATCACCTTTCTTTTGGTTCATGTGATAATCTTTTTCTTTTACATTTGACTTCTGCAGCAAAGAAGTGAGAGGAAAAAAAACAACCCAAAGGCACAGGCTGTTAAACTGGCTGCTGTTCTGAAGACATTGTCAAAAGACTGCTGCACAATAAAGAAAAAAGTTTAAAAAAAGCGAAATTTGGCAGCAGGAAAACGCTTGTATAATACGCCTTTTAAAAATGTAGCCTCATCATTTTCCTCTTCTTCTTCTTCAAGTGATGACGGGCTCACTTCCGGCTGCCATGTTCAGCGCCAACGAGCTGTTTTTACGTGTCGCGCGGCCGACGCAGTATTTGTACCAATTAAAAACCAATAAAACGGCGGTAAGTGTTGTCTGTCAACCCACAGAGTTTTGGCGTGCAATTTAATTAAAGCTAAAAACACATAACTAGCTTTGTCACTCAAACGATACCAGTGGAAAAAGTCTCAAACATATACACGACGATGACGACATGAGAGGCAAGGCCACCTTCAAGTTCCCGGATGGAGGTACGCTATCTTAAGCTAACTGTTGTTTGTTTGTTGTTTGCTATTTTGATTTTATTTCACTTTATTTTCCCAGTAAAGCGCCATTTAACCGTAAAACTTTGAATTTGAAGAGCTTGGACAGAGCAAAAGAAACACAGGGACTTTATTCTGTTCCCTAGCGTTTAATTAGCTTAGCTGCCTGATAATTTCCGCTTCTGCTGTATAGGCTGATATTTCAGCAAGCTATCCCTCCAACATGTATTGTAAATGTAAGATAACTATTCGTTTTGTGTTTTAATTGTGTAGCATGGGCGAGTATGAACTGTTTAAACCTCAGGCAGCCGAATGAAAATAGTCTTTGACCATCCTTACCTCAACATTGTAAACCAGAAGATATCCATCATTGTTGTGCGGATAGTTGAGGCTGTTAGGTTTGGCAGGGCTTTTGAAGTGTTGAAGGACATACTGTCTGTATTAAACAAGTGTTATGTTTTTCCTAGCTGAATGGCTTTCCTAACATTTTCAGCTGTTTGCAGTGGCAGTTTGTTGGCCTTCCCTTTTTACAGCTACACATGATATAGTAGTGCAGACATCAGTTTATTTAATGCTTTTCCCGTAAAGATCACGGTGTCAATCTCAATTTTTTCTAATGATAAATGACATGGAAATGGCTCATCCCCTTTGTTGTGTTGTGTTTGAAAGAAAAAGATCACCGCTGGGATTAGCAAAAGCTTGTACTATCCTTTGGAACATCATGTATTTAATGTTGTTCCAAAGAGGAGTTCAGCAAATCCAGAAGGATTACACAGTGGATGGATAAACCGAAATCCTGTTGTGATCTCTGGCTGATTGTGAGGCTTTTTTGTCAAATCTCTGTAAAAGTCACAGACGACCCTGGGAGTTCTCGGCAGCACTCTGCACTTTAAGGTTCAATTATGAGACCTTGGTATGCTAGAACGGTAGTCTGAGCTGTCTTGTCTGTATCTCCCTTTTCCTTCTCACCAGACTAATTCATGGTTCTTCTCTACCATGATGTGGTCAGTGTTCCAGACGCTTGGAGATCCTTTCAAAAGCTAGGCTATATGTGTGTTACACATTGGCAGCCCTTTGCGGTGGGTGAGGCTTAGACCTGGGTCAGATGACTCATCCAAACTCAGTGCTTGTCTCTGGGTCTAGGGAATGTTTGTGCTCATATTAGTCTTATTATTGTTTCAAATGCTAGGATTTAATCGTGGTCTGGTGGCGTACCGTGTCTTGGAATTGTTGCATTTGCTTGTGTGGATGTGTTTTGTTCCTGTCTGGAGTGGACTGGAACTAAATATTATGGCAGGGACACCCGATCATACATATACCTATTGTCAAACAACTAAAGCTCCCTCAGGGTAATGTGGAACACCTCCACTGCTGCAGTTATACTTGGATTTTGTTTCACCATCGGAACTGATGGTTTCACTATCCTGTGCTCCAAAAGAGCTTTTTATGTTTTCATTAACATATAAAGTTGCAGTGGATTTATTGAGTCTGCACATGGCTTTTTACTCAAGCTGTGATTTATTACACAATCTCATGCAGCTTTATTCTAATTGGCTGCCAGCATACGTTTTTATGCTTTCACCAATTTATCAAAGCCTTCTGGCAGAAGCTGCTGGTGGATGGCTGGGTTAGATGTATCTGTGGGAGCCTTAATCCTTTCACTCACCTTTACAGATTCACCCTAATTAACTCTGTGGAGCAAATATATACAACTTTTTGTTGTCATGCCAAACATTCATTAGAAAACATCTTCATAGCTCAGCTTTTGTGATAATTATTATCTAAATCCAGATGCTACAAAGTCCATGTGTTTACTCATCTTTGTGATTTGCCATGACCAATCGAACATGATCAGAGAACACTAAACCAACATCAGTTCTCCCACCAGATGTTAATTGGATTCATATTGCAGTAAAAGCATTGTCTTCCTTTGTTGAAGAGAGGCGCTAAATATTGGTGGGATGTTAGATGGACAGACTTTAAGGGTGAAATTGTCTGGTGTATCTCACCAGATTTCGTAAAGTGATATAGTTGTATACCACGGCCTTGTGTAAAATAAGGATTGGTTCTCTTTGCTAAACTTTAAACATTTGTGGCTTGATTATCTGCCCTCAGCAAAACAATTCTACGATCATAGAAAAAGAACGTAGCCCATTGCCTGTGCAGAAACTAATTAAAGAGTGTTTCTCAAAAAATACAGTTTTCCTTTGCTCCTTCCACTCTTGCTGTAATGAATTCTCAAGCACTCAAGTAATCACCCTTACAGGTTCCAGATAACCCATTGCTCTTGACCTCCTAAAACAAAATCACAGTAAGCGATAGAAATAATATTGAATCATTTGATTTGGCAGTAAAGGCTCTTTTGTAGTGTATATGTTTCTTCATCAGGGCTCCAAGGGACAGCATGCAGGAAAAGGGTGGAGAAGGGTTGAATGATGATGCTGTTACTGGCCAGTCGGGAGGGGAGGAGCTGCGCGATCGGCTCTGTTCGAATGGATCTCTGACCACAGCAGAGTGGAGAATGTCTGTCTGTACTAAAGCCAGAATAAGTTTGATGGCTTTAAGCTGCTTCACACCTGCTGCTGCTCTCTTTTCCCCTGCTCCACTAGGGTATCATGTCCCTTAGTTGGCAAGTAGTGTGTGACCCTTTGTTGCCTTTATTTTTGCACATACTTGTCATCAGCATTAGCTTCAGTTAGTTGATGGACCACTGGCTTGTAGGTCCTAGCAGGGGAAATGGCAAAGGACAGATTAATTGTCGCAGTGTGAGTAACATTGGAAGTGTTTTGTTCTCTTCCTTCCCAATCACCAAGATGACGCTGTTTCCCCTCATCAAAGACTAATGCTGCCAAAAGTCTGATCTCAATTTCCCAGCAATGCAATGCGAGATGGAATTATTCAGGGGTCATGATACATTGGCTTCAGCTCGGTTGAAGCGAAGCATGATGGACGGACCAGAACATTAACAAGTCACATTTGTTGTTGTGACGGAGTTTGTCGTGATTTGCTTAAGATGTTGAGAGTATCAACATACAAAGAAGATGACTCCTCTGCACTTTTCATGGCAGAGCAAGGAAGAAATCCTGTCTGTGAGTCACAAGTGTTTTTGCTCTGGCCGTACAAAATGCTTTCCATTTTCAGGGTTTCGGTTTTATGATTTTGAACAAAGAATGATTGGATGTCTAAACCAGCTGTCCCAGATTGTTTTTTCACTACATCCACCCTAAGGACAGCTTAAACCTCTTTTTTTTTTTATTTAGGGCCATTTCAATCAAAAGGTTGTAAATGTAGTGTTTATCCAAATTGAGCACCCCTGAAACCTCGGCAGGTCGTTTGAACCACAGGAAAAGAGTTGACTCAAAAGAAAATGTTGTGTCAGAAGGTTACACAGCAGGTACGCTGCCTCAAATGCTGGCTTTGGAAAAAAACATTTCAGCCACACTTTTTTGTCTGCTCTTAAGGAGGGACCACAAAGATCTGGGTAAAAAAAAATGTTAGATTCACAAAAATCTTGTAAAATTCTGTAACCCACAAGTGTGAGCGTATGTAGGGTTGGCATGCTGGCAGACTTAATAGTACATGATCTCACTGGTGTCAGCGCAAGAGCGAACATGAAAATAAAATCGGGTTTTTGGGTAAGAGGGAAACACTACTTTTTGGTATCCAAAGCAACATTGTGCTGAATGGATAGAAACATGACCACCGCTATATAGAATGTATGTAACATGCGTTTTGAGCTTTTATAGAGAGCATATCCATCAGTCTTAAAGGCCATTTCAGTTTAAGTAGAAATTATTGAGAAGGACTGCTCACTTTATCATTTACAGCCCTTGAAAACCTCTCTTAAGCATTGGTCTATGATGATCCATTCAGTTGGGACCTCTTAAGTTTACATTAACAACCTAAAAAGGCAGTTATCAAATTATTCAGTCATGGAACTGAATATGAGTCATAAACTGTTTTTATTACAAGAAAACTATTTCAAGATTACAGTGGAAGACTTCTGTGTACTGACTGTTCTGTTCTTTCTCTTCTTTCTAATGGTTCCCATTACAAGATCAGCTCACTGAATCATCCTCTGTCTCTTGCATCATCTCAGTGGGGCAGAATCTGCCTATAAAATCCCTCTTTAAATTGCTTTTGATATTTATGTCACACTTTGGCTCATCTCAGACAGGGGCCAGTGAATGAATGAAGAGAAATCATTGATAACCGGGCAATTTTAGTGTTCCTCCATGATGTCAGTGACTGTTTAGCTCATGGTTGGACTTTGCATGCTGAAGATTGTTTCAAGTCTAGGCCAAACAATAAGGGGT